GGTGATGCTTGCTTCCAGGAATGAATTTGGGAGTATTGCTTCCCTTTCAATTTCATTGAAGAGTTTAAACAGTACTGGGAGCACTTCCTCTCTAAATGTCTTGTAGAATTCATCAGTGAGGCCATCAGGACCTGGGCTTTTCTTAGTTGTTAAGTTTTTAATTATGTTTTCAATTTCATTGGCTGATATTGGGTTGTTTAGAATTTTTAGGTCTTCATTCAACTTTGATAATTCATATGTATCTAGGAATCTGTCCATTTCTTCTATGTTTTCCATCTTATTGGTGTATAGGTTCTCGAAATAGGTATCTATGATTCTCTGGATTTCTGCTGGGTCCATTGTAATTTCACCCTTTTCATTCCTAATAGCAAGGATTTGGGCCTTTTCTTTCCTTTTTCTGATAAGGTTGGCTAAGGATTTGCCAATTTTGTTTATTCTTTCGAAGAACCAACTCTTGGCTTCATTAATTTTTTTGTATCATTCTCTTAGCCTTCATTGCATTGATTTCTTCTCTGATCTTTACAATTTCCTCCCTTGTGTGAGACTTCAGTTAGTCCTGCTCTTCTTTTTCTAGTAGCTTGAGATTCAGTATCAGGTTTTGTAATTGAGCTCACTCTGTTTTCCTCATGTGAGTATTCACTGCTATGAATTTACCTCATAAGACTGCTTTCATTGTGTCCCATAGATTCCGATATGTTGTATTGGCATTGATATTTATTTGCAGGCACTGTCTGATTTCTTCTTTAATTTCCTCTGTGACCCATTGGCTATTCAGAAGTGTATTGTTCAGTTTCCATGTGTTTATGAAATTCATGTGGTTTCTTTTGCTATTGATCAATTTCATCGCAGTATGGTCTGATAATATACAGGGGATAACTCCAATTCCTTTGCACTTACTTAAACAAGTTCTATGAGTGAGTATGTGATCTATTTTGGAGAACGACCAATGTGCAGCTAAAAAGAATGTGTATTCTGATTTTGTGGTGTGGAACACTCTGTAAACATATGTTAAATCCATTTGTTTAAGAGTCTGATTGAGTCCTAGTATTTTGTTTTTCATTTTTTGTCTAGTTGATCTATTTGTGCCAGTGGGGTATTGAGGTCCCCCACTACTATTGCAGTATTGCTTACTTGATTTTTCATGTTTGTTAGTATTTGTTTTATATAGTTGGGTGTACTAGTGTTTGGTGCTTATGCATTTATGATTGTCATCTCTTCCTCTTAGATTTTTCCCTTTACAAGCATATAGTGTCCTTCTTTGTCCCTCTTAATCAGTGTGGGTTTGAAATCTACTTGATCTGCAAAGAGGACAGCTATCACTGCTTTTTGGCGGGGGGTTCCTGTCCCATGGAGGATTGTTTTCCACCCTTTAATGTTCAGTCTATGAATTTCTTTTTGAATTGTGTTTCTTGTATGCAGCATAGTGTTGGATCTTATTTCTTGACCCATTCTGCCAGTCTATTTCTTATGATTGGTGAATTGAGACCATTAACATTGATGGTTATAACTGATACATATTGACTCATCATTGTCATGACTTTTTCTTTTTGTTGGACTCTCCCCCTTCACATTTAGTTTCTTGTCATGCCCAATGGATTCATTCTGCTGGGCTTCCTGGGGTTGTGATCCTCATTGCCTTTTCCTAGGATATTGTCTAAAATTTTTCTGAGTGCTGGTTTGGTATTCATGAAATTCCTCAGGTACCCTTTGTCATAAAAGTATCTTATTTATCCATCAATTTTGAATGATAGTTTTGCAGGGTACATCATCTAGGTTGGAGGCTGTTTTCCTTTAGGGCTTGAAATACATCACTCCAAGCTCTTCTTGCCTTGAGGGTTTGCATTGAGAAATCTGCTGTGATTTGGATGGGCTTTCCTTTGTATGTGATTTGTTTCTTTTCTCTGCTCATAGAATTTTGTTCTTCTGTTGCATTTCTGGAATCTTAACTATTACATGCCTATGTGTAGATTTTTTTTTTGATCAAGGCTAGTTGGAGTCCCATATGCCTCACTTATCTGTATGTCAAATTATTTTCCCCTGCTTGGGAAGTTTTCTGCTATCACTTCTGTGACCAGCATTTTTATGTCATCTGAACTCTCTCCTGTTTCTTCATTGACTCTGATCAGTCTTATATTATTCCTCTTTGCATTGTTTAGCAGCTACTGGATTGATTTCTCATGGTCCCTTACTATTTTAAAGAAATTTTTCTTTTCCTGGTCACTATTTGCAATCTTATCTTCTATATCTGAAATTCTGTCCTCACATTGGCTCATTCTGCTCTGTAGACTTTC